CAACAACAAGGAGTGCTAAAGATTCCATGTGAAGTCGAATTGTTTGAGAAAATGTTGAAGTTGATGGAAGAAAACAGAGATGTGTTTTTCTTGAATGATCATATAATTGATCATGCTGATTCCGTAATGAGCTGTTATTCACCAGATTGTGACCTAACTTCACCATCTCATCACCCTCAGATGTGTAGATGATGATTTTCTGGATATTATTAGGTGTTCAGTCTTGTCAAGGCACATGTCCTAAGGTTTTTTTGTGAAAGGGAATGAATTTGTAATTCTCATTTACATGTCTGTTGTTCAAATTTCCTGTCAAAAATGAGCTATCTAGCTACTTATAGCCATAGGTGAAATCACAATTTAGTTATCAAAGTTCACTTCTCATTGATGTGAATGGCCGAAGATTCTCCTGTTAGTCGAGGGATCAAGGTGGGACCGGCCAAAAGCCCTTAACTTAGCTTCAGAACGAGGAACATGATCCCTTTTCTGAACATGCCTTGAATCTTACCATTATTTGATGCGTTGCCATCCTTCAATTTTTGTCTCAATTTCGCGTGCAGTCTTTAATATCGTTAAGTATGTCAAACTGGCTATAATAGTCTGAGGAACAAAGTGATCCAGCTGAAATACAATTAGATTTACTAGTTTGTGAACAAAAAAGGGACAAATAAAAGTTTAATTAGTAATGTCTAATATAAAACATCAGTGATTCAGAATAAATTGTTTGATCAACCAATTATTTTTGTAAATTCAACAACTATTAATGTGAATTTGAGGAAAGAAATTAATTAAATTTTTCGTACATATATAGTACACATAAAGGTTGAGTAATTTAATGTAAACAAATTAGATAGGAGGGAGGATCATGTGCTCACGAGTTCCGTAATTGTATCGTAACCATGTGACATGTGCCTAACACAGTGGTAATCATTATAATTAAATCCAAGTTTACATCTAAAACATAATTAAAATATTAATATGTTTAATATATTTGCATATGGGTGCTTCCATATTTGAGTTATACACCATAACACCAATAACAACATTGCAACTACAACTTTGCTTCACTAACAGAATGAGGATGATGGATTCTCTGATCAAACCCTCACAATACGGGTGGAAGCCACTTTTTTTTTAAATTTTTTATTCACGTAGGTCCCAACACCATATGAGAGGATGTCAAATGGCATGTCACCATTTTTCTATCAAACTTGTTTCATTCTTTGCAACTATTAACAGTAATTAATAGTAGTTTGCTGCCTGGATTAATTTTTTAAAACCTAGATTAATAGGTAAATTTTAAAGAATAATTTTAAATGGGCTGATATTATTGTCCCGAAGTTAACGTACGCCTCAATTATTTCAAATGGAC